TTATGAATAGTCATGATAATGTAACACTATAGTAGACTGTCCAGGGAGATTGTGCGGTCTATATCCTCAGTGATTCTGAAAAATTATTTGAACAGACATGTCCCTGAAATGGTACAGATAGATCTAGTGTTCTCTTTGGGCAGGGGACTGAACTGATAACTTCTTGCAACCCTTTCCCCATGATTTTCTGTGAATTTCTGTGATTGATTTGTTTCACAGTAAAGATTGTTCTTTGGTTGGGGATATTTGGTTGGTCAAATATGCCTACAGCAGAATTATAGTTAGGATATTTTTCAATTAATTTTTTTTAATATGGGTCATCTTCAACTACAGAAATGTGGTATAAGGAGAGACAAAGAGAAAGGTGGAAGAAGAAAGAAATAAGAACTAGAAGAATATTATTTTTTTAACAATTGAAACTTTTAATAGGTTCTGGGTTTTAGCCAAAAGCTTAAAAAGTAATAAAACGTCAATGCAGATTAACATTACAGATTAATATATAATCAAGGATTACATAATGTTTACAAAATACATATCTCCTGCCTAAGTAGTTACATTGCAGTTCTTTAAGTGTGTGCATCTTTTTTATTTTCCTCACTAGTATTCCCTCATGGATCTCTTATCCAAAATGGTTGTTGGACAGCCTCACTTTATCCGCTGCATTAAACCTAACGATGATCGAGAAGCACTGACATTTTCTCATGAGAGAGTCCTACTGCAGTTACGGTACACTGGAATTCTGGAAACTGTCAAAATACGTCAAAAAGGGTATTCTCATCGCATCCTCTTTGAAGAGTTTGTGAAAAGGTAACACTTCTATAACATGACTGTTGTTTTAAAACTCCATTCAACAAAATATATTCTATGTTTAAGTACAAAAGTTCTACAAACATGGGTTTGTACATATATGGTCTCATTCTCTAATGAGAGCAGTGACTATCAGAGATAAAGACTACAAGAGATACCTGAGCTCTAATGGAGAAAAGTCAGTGTGATACCAGCAGAGAGCACTTAGTATTCCATAGTAAGCCTGTCCCGGTGGTTCCCTCAATAGAGGCAACAAGTGGAAATTATGCATCGTGCTCAGATTATACAAGGATTTGGAAGGTCAGTGACCTTCAACCATCATACGAAGAATGTGCACATGCTTAAGAATGAACTGATACAAAAGCTTTAGATTTGGAAATATTTCTTGTATAGCTTTGTAGCCTCCTAGTCATTTATCTTGGAGCTATCATGAATTATAACCAGACCTCTGTTCACCTGAACCCTTGTCCTGGCTACTGTTACTGCCTTTAACACTATTCTCAATCTCAAAAAGTTGTAAGTTTGATTCTGAAAATGCTATTGTCTTTATGATGGGAATATGTTTATATGATCATTATGGCTTCCTCTAGATTTAAAATATGTTTTTGTGTAGTATTTACTGTTTTCCAGTTTGTAGGATTGATAAATAATGGGGCAGAATCAGTACTGTTAAGCAATCAACTACTCAACAGTAGGAACAAGTAGTGAATGGCTAAATCAAGCATTCAGTGATGTTTTCTGAACTAGAGGTTGCTTATCCAGACAATATAGAGTTAATGAATCTACTGAAAGCAAGTCATTTATATGATGCTAGAAGGAAGGAGCTGATTATGTTTTTGAGAAAGTAGCAGCATAAACAGTTTCACAGGCCTTTCTAAAACCCAGAGATTGGGTAAATTTACGTGTGTAAATCAGTTATTTGCGCTTGGAAATCTGTGATCCTTGCATTGAGAGATGTTGAATGATAAACCATAGCTTAATAAATTCATTCTGAAAAATTATGAAATTTTCTGATTTGTAATATATTAGTATCCCAAATGAATATGTAACAGGAAAACATTGGAGAGAGATATCCCAGGAAGATAATTAACGTGTTCATTTGTCCATCAAAGCAATTTAATTTTCAGACATGATCTCCTCCCACCTTTTTTTTTGTGTTACATGACTAATTTTAGTAAGGTCATACTGTTCTAAAGCAGGTTTAACAAAGAGATTAATTTTTGTGATCACTAACGCATCTTTGCAACATCCTGAAGAGACTGAAGGCAGAACTAGAAACCTTAACTTTTATCCAATTTACGCGTAAGTGAACTAAGATTAACTCCACTGAAATTAGTGTAAATTGAGAGGAAATTAGGCCTCCTCTTATCAGTAGATTCTTTTCATTCAAAAGTGCACTGAATTTGAGTACAACCTTGAAAAGCAATGGTAATAAAAGCAGTGCTGACTGTAGCTTTCCATTCCTGCAGATAAGGGCAAGTTGTGTTTAACATCATATTCCCCAAGTTTTTAGTCATAGCTTGATGTAATTCTTTCAGGAAAAAGAGTCGACATGACAAGGGAAGTGGGGGGAGATTTAGCAATTTGCCCAACAGCGCAGAAGACTTCCTGACTTCAGAATATAAACAGGGGGCGGATGAGGGGGTGTTTTTGCTCCTTTGTTCAGTTCGTGCTTTATTTTTAAACAAATTCTATTCTCTTTTGCTGTTGAAAAAAAAAAGAACGAACAACAGTGCTTTAAAAAAGCTATCAATGGAACAAGAAACATTTTTCTTCAACTTACAGGCATGACTAGTCAAGTGTTTTTAGGAACTAAGTAGTTGAATATGTAAAAATGTTAGAGAAAACAGGTCAAATGCTAAACAGATTGGCACTTCTTTGTTCATAATCAGAAAGACATTAGGCAAGTATGAACAAGAGTTTCAAAATGTCAGTAAATGTGAGGATATCAAAGATTTTCTAAGCCAGCAAGTTAATCGGTATTTTGATCCTTTTGAGCAACTGCACAACAAAATGGATGAGCCAGCACTTTTTCTCCCTTGATGTTATTGAACAAATAGGTGTGCTTCTTATCTGCCTGTTCAATAATGCTGTTTTGTAAACTCTTAGCAGGAAATATGAGGACAAAACAATCAAAGGCAGGGAAGAGAACCATTCAGGGTTTATCAGGTGGGAGGTAAACAAAAGATAAAGCTCTGTCTAATGTTACTATTTACTGTCTTCTGTTTTCATGTAGAACAGATTATTTCAGTGTTGCAAACCTGAAGGTAGTTTATTGGGTTAAAAAACAGATGGTGAGGAGAGGACTTAATTGTAACTCATTCACACAATGTTTCTTCAGCCAAATATATAACCATCTGTTTTATGTATATAAATATACATATTCTTTTACTTAAAGTAGGAAAACGTAATCTGCAGCCCCTGTAAACACTGTAGACCTGTCAAGTCTTAGGCACTTTATCTCTGCTGGCCTTGTCTTGCACCCCATGCCATCGTGTGTCTGTCTTACGTGTTTGTTGTGAAGCAGCACGGCCCCTTTCTTAGGCTGGAATCCCAGGTTTCAGACACAGGTTATTAACCTCATCGGGCAACCAGTGTGCCTGGCTTGTGGGGCCGCATAGTGACCAGGCAATGCACAGCAGCTAACGGAGGTGTGCTTTCTAGAGGGGACCGGCACTGGAAGTCCCACTGGATAGGATGCCCCTTGCTATATCCAAGTGCTCAGGCCCTTGGAGCTTCACATGACATGATGTGGTATGCAGGTGTGCTCTCACCACATATCCCCCAACTGTATGTAATATGGCATATTCTGTACCTTGGATTGAAAGATAAGGGACTTGAGAGTCTAATAATGCTAAATGCTGTCATGCTTGAAGTGCCTCATAAGCACATAGGAATGTGTTGAGTTTTGTACAAGTTCATTTAAGGATTGTCTTTTTTCTTCTTCTCTGACCATTTAAGTTCTTTGTACTGCATTAGGATGCAGGATACGCTTTTCTTCTAAGATGGCCTACTCCACAGTAGCCCAATGATGTTACTCAGATCATGCATTCATGGCAATACCAGTGCTATCATTGAGGTGAGGTTGGTTCTGCTTTTTCAGCCTCACAGTGCAAATTTCCATAAGGTCACTGTTGGTACACCTGGAACACTCAGTCTGTAAACCATTACATTTCTCGTGACCCTATAAAGCCTCATTGACCTTACTGAGTCACATTCTGCATTGAGTGGAGCTAGGACTAAAAACTGGTCAAATATTGCAAAATCCTGTAAAACATGTTACCTCAGTAAATGCTTTCTTCTAGCCCCTAAAATTCAGTGGTGATAGACTTGTTTATTATTCAAAATACAAATATTCAAAATTAGGGAAGCACTTAATTAAATTAGAAGTAAATAGGTTTGTTATAGAGAAAAAAATTTTTTGAAAGTTATTTAATGACTCTTTCAGTGCTAAAACTGTGGGTTTTTTTAAACTTTCCAACTCCAGGAAAGAGCAAATGTCTTTTGGAATGTTGAGAATCTCCATACTGTTGCTGGGGGTCTGACTGGAAAGGGATTTTGCCCTCTTGCACCTCATGCTTTTCACATATCATTGTCCATTCTCTACCTCAGGCCAGCATATTTTAGTACAAAGATTTGTTTTAAAGAGAAAAAGGGTTAATCATTACTTTTTTGAGTTAATTGTGTAGAATTGATGCTGCCTTTAAGTCTGGAATGTGAAGGGAACTTAAGTAACAGACACTGGTATAGTAGTTAATGGTGCAGTTCAAATGCTATTTATTGAACTGTTCCACAGTTCACCCTTTAAGGAGGGGAGAGAAGTTGAACCATTTGTTTACGATCAGTTTATCTAATCTAAAACCACCAACACTAAAATGCCTTGGCCATAATCACATAGTTAATGCACAGCATCATTCTGAAGTTTTCCTTATCTTAGCATACTTGGATGTCTTTGATGTTTAACCTTAACTCTGCATGTCCTAGCTTTGCAATTGTTGATCTGGGGATAAACTCAGCTTTTTAAAAATGTTGCTTTATGCCTAATGAGTACTAAGTACAGTTAATCCCATTTTAATGTATCTTTTGTCTGGAATACTATTCATGGCCATGAAGGATAGTTTGTAGTGCAGTGTAATACATAATTCCAGACTTTCCTCAGCTCTGAGAAATTAGGTCTTCTGGAGGGAAATTACTTTTCTCTTACTTAGTCTTACTGCTACTGAGAATGTGATTAGTCAAGTACTTGTAGGAGACATGTAGATGTATGTGTCGTGTAAAAAATTTTCAAGCAGGATGTATAACCCAAGAAAATAATGTGGTTTTGCACAAATATATGCACGTTTGTGAAAAAACACATGAAGGACTATTAACTTTCTTTCCAAAAGTAGAAATAAAAGTATTGGCTTAACATAGAAGAGCACTGAAGTATTCCAGACTACTGAATTTTCTGCTGGAATAACACATGCAAATATTGAAATAAAAAAAATAGAGTTGCGAAATTTTCATCTCATCTGGAAGCAAATGTGATTTCTAGCTCTACTTTTCTGAAATTAAGTATCTGGTTTCTTCTCTTGGTGAAATGTTGCAAATAGAGGTCACTCTGTGATCTCCGTACAGTAGATTTACATAAGTATGATAGAGGTTAAATTAGGCAAATAAATAAAAATTAACAGTTGTAGTTGCATATAGCCCAAAGTTTTGGGTGCATTCCCAGATGTTTTCTCTACCGTCTCACAATGTACAATATTTGCACACTTTTACCAGATACACTAAGGTGAAACATTTTACCTTCCTCCAAAATACTACATATGGTCTGTTGCTGTACAAAGATTTTAGAACAGGTAAGAAAGTTGGATGACCCTGTGTGGCACGTGCTCTGCTGCCATCCTGAGCACATCAAGTCAACTGCTTGTGCATCTGTAGTTATGTGATTCAGTCATGAAAGCATGCACCAGGTAGAAATCAAAGCGTTTACTTACAAAAATACACAGATTTGAGCTTTGTAACACTAATCTAGAGACCTTTTACTGTGCAGAATGCAAACTCCAAAAGCAGTTCTGTTGGAGAAATAATCAAAAAGAAATTGCCAATCTCATATTGTTAGACTTTATTTCTGATGAGTAGAGTAATTTCTGCCTTATTTTTGATGACATAACTGAAAAGGAACAGGAAAACCTGATGTTGAAAATCTGACATCCCAGTGTGTTTAACCAGTTAGAGGAGTCTTCTGTGCAGTGCTTTGATCAATTAAAACATTTGGAGAAACACCATTTAGAGGAAGTTTTATGAAATATTGGGAGACAATATGTTTACATACAGAAACTGGAGTTCTTCCTGTGGATTGTAACGTTACTGTCATTCTGAATGGCTTGATTTCTTAGAAGACAGATAAACTTAAATTTATGAAAACATTTGTTAAAACGGGATTTGGCAAGAAAAATGGGCATTGTTTCATTTATGGTTTTTTTTCTGAGTACCAAAAACCACTACATTCTAGACCATGAAAGAGAGCTAATGGAGAGAGTACTACATTTGAAAGATACTGAAGTTTGTCGTAAACAAAACTGTATAGGCAGGTGTGCAAATTGCATAGTTCAAAAATACATTGTAGTCAGGTATTTGTCACAAATAAGAAGTTAACTTCTCGGTAATTAGAATGTCATTGATAAGATAGTAAGATTCAAAAATTATGAGATCCCCCTTGACTATTTCATTGCATCAGTGCTATCTAAAAACTGTTTCGTGGTTTTAAAATTCCTAACTGCAACATGCCTTAAAAGACGTATGAACAACCAGAAAATGGATATCACTCACGTGAATCTTTCCTTCCTTCCAAGGAAAGGAACTGCTTAAGTTATATACACATGTAAATAACATGGCTATCTGAACTGGCTTTTGAAGCAAACAGCAATTTACTATTAGTGCTACTTCCCTGATGTATCTGTCAAGTATCTGTTGAAATTGTATGCTATCACAAATTGTTTGTGATATGTATATTTTAAATCTGAGTTTTATTAGTGTACCTCATAATACTGTTTGTCTTGTCAAAACTGGCATCATTAAGTTCAGTAATAAGGTGGAGGAAAGGTGGAGGTGTACTTTTTTTCTTTTAAATACACCATGTTTCTCCATACTGACTAAATGGCATGGCTCAGTATTTTGAAACACTTTGCTAAAGAATTTGCAATATCATGTTATAGAGAAAGTCACTGCATTAAAAATAAGTCCGTAATACATAATCTACTGTCATTATTCAGAGTGGGCAATGTCTCCAGTTGGTGAACATCTATGTCACTGGTCCAGGACTGATTCCAGTGCTTCTGCCTTCAGACATCATTTTGTTCCCCTTTGATCTTTATTGACTCTTTTAGTGGTTCTTTTTTCTTTCTTGTGACAACTGGAGCTAATATCTAGAGATTACCTGGAGCTAATATTTGAAAATCATATTCTCCTGATTAAAAAAAAAAAAAACAAAAACACCAAAAAACCAAAAAAACCCAGAAAAGTCTTGTGCTATTCCATTCTTTCTAATTGCTTCTCCATATTCTCTTAATTATGAGGTGGGATATTTTCTTGCCTCTGTGTGGCTACAGAGGAGTCTGGTTCACTGATCAGATTCTTCTCCTTATGTTTTAAAGAACATCTGATGGCTCTTCCCCATGCTATTAGGCAAATGGTTTGCTCATCCTGCCAGCTCCTCTCAAATGCAATGTAAATACAGTAACACCTGTAGAAGTATAATTTAATAAAGACCAAGACAACACATAGCAGCTCATAAATGAGAGCTGAGGTGGCAGTTGCTGCCATCTAACAGTGTACTTGCACTAAAATAAGCCTAAATTTGTAAACTAACTGGCATGTGTTCTTGCTGCTACATAGCATAATTGGTTGCCAGTAGAGTTACTTAAATATTATAAAACCATTCCTTACCATTCATGGTGGCTTCACAGGTAGGGATTGGTCCATTCATTCTTAATTTAGTTCAAACATGTTTGCATCCCTTTTTCATTAACTATTTGCGCAATAATGTTATTTCACATAATTTTTAGGGGCTGTTCTTTGCAAGGGAACATGGACAAAAGAAAAGTCAATGTTGTTTAGTATGGGCCTGCTCCAAAGGCCACTGAAATTGATCATAATCGTTCCAATTAACTGTTCTCCCAAAGCAAACAGAGAAAAGACATCATGCCTAATGACTTACAAACCTAATCATAACCACAGAAATCCTTGTGAGTAAAGGAAGTTAATACATTCATCTGAGGAGTAATTAACTTGTTTTTTCTTTAAAATAGCTGCTAGTTCTCTTTAACCATCAGCACTGATAAAATCCTTGCCGATATGATAGCAATGCCAGTTGTTTTTATTATGCATATACATGACCTCTTCTGGAGGTATGAAACCCAGGTGGGTATTCATGCAGTCTGAGCATCTTACTGTCTGTAAATTACAATTTAGATGAGAGTTGTTTTTACTGTAAACTAATCTTTATTCTTCACACAGATTGGCAGCCTTTGAGCTTCAATAATCAGTCAGTATCGCTGTATCATTGTACTGCCCACCCTCGTAGTGCTGGCCTTTGTCTTCATCGATTGAGGAACCTCAGTCTTTCTATTAGGCATACTGAAGATGGGAAGCTCCCCTGAGTTCCATTGATGGGAGTGATCTTGTTGCTCGAGACCCCTGGACTTCTTATTTGGATTTATACTTCCCAAAGAATGTCAAGGCCATTTATATTTCTTTCTGAAAAATGACTGATACCAGTCAGAAAGATTCTGAAATGCCTTTTTTGGCATTTCTCATAAGAAACAGGCATCAGGTCATGAATATTTTACTTCTGGTGCTTTTTTCTTTCTTTCGTGCAAGTATTTGACTTTTCTCCCACTCAGAAATATGTAAAGGTCCATTGAACACCTCAGGGAGCACTTGCTTATTCAACAGAACTTGCAGACTGTGACAAAGTATGTTATGCAGCTCTATAGATGGCGTACTTATTTTACACCTTATGCAAAATGTTTTAATTTTGCCTTCCTTTCTATTACTCATTTCTAGCACTTTTCCTCCTTCTCTCTGTCATTCATTCACCTGAAAAATCCAGAGCAACCTTGGGTGTTTCCTAAGTTGCACTGGTTTGTGAAAGACCTTTATGGATGATTACACTGACTGGTGATTTCTGGAATGCAGCAGATTCTTGTCACCACTATGGTACCACTTATTTTCCTATGTCATGTGTATGCTCAAATCTCTGTTCACAACAGCAGTGTAATGATTTATGAAGAGGACTGAGTACAAGGGAGAATTTAGTCTATGAGTTCTAGAGATGCAGTTGTGAGCTAGAGAAGAACAGTGAATGTACGTATTGACTGTCAAGTCAATTCTTTGTCATTTGATTTTGCAGGTATTATTACCTTGCATTCAAGGCACACGAGACTCCCCTTGGTAGCAGAGAAAACTGTCTTGCCATTTTGGAGAAATCTAAACTAGACAACTGGATTCTTGGCAAAACCAAGGTAGAAGGTGCTAACGTATTCTCAAGGATGGTGTCCTTTTAGCAAAACATGTCTAATAGTTGTTTGAAAAGTACTGCATGAATAAACAAAAGAGCACAGAATTTGCTCCAGTTAGCCTCCCAGGTTATGGAGGCACCCTCCCAAGCCATCTGAGTTAGTGCTGCAAGAGGAGGGGTGCATTGGGTACCTCCCCAAAGCGTATTCTGCATGTGGCTGCCTTGATAAGGACAATACCTGCTGTCAGTAGGTACTGTCACCTGCCAGTGCTTGCTGTGGTGTAGTGCCTCCCTAAAGTTCTTTCTGCTCTTAATCATGGCATGACTGAAACTTCACACTCTGGCCCATCCTGTGTGCCTGATTAGTACATTATCCATTTGTGATGTTTCATGTGAGATCCTTCTGGCTCTGTCAAGAGCCTTTGTTCATGGCTTAAAATTGAGTGGATGACTTCTCTAAAAAGGATGTTAAACAGTATCTTGAGTTGTTTTGCAGTGCACAAAGAAAAAACAAAGAGAATTTTCCTGCTCAAGACTCATATAAAGTATATGTAAGCACCCATAGGATTTGCCTCCTGAAGCAGAATGCTGTTAGACAATATTGTGTCTAAAAACAAATTCAACCCATGATTTATCTTCCACTGCCAAGAAAGGCTGTATTTCAAAATTATTGATACCTGAAGATCCTGGCCAATTTACTTTGTAAAGGGGGTAAATAGGTGCTTTATTTTGCAGTGGGGTGATTCTAATCAGTGGAATAATGAAATCCCACAAGCACACTGAGAGCAAATCTTTGATTCACAAGTTTGCTATGGTATCAGCAACCAGTATTTTACCAGTTTTCTCAGCAACAGTACCCTAAAATAGGCTGACATAAGACTAATGAAAAGGCAAATACAAGAGGTTATGTTACTGCCTGCATGTGAAACTGATTTTTTTGTTGTTGTTGTTGTTGTTCCATTTCAGGTTTTTCTAAAGTATTACCATATAGAGCAGTTAAATTTGTTCCTGCGAGAAGTTATAGGGAGGGTGGTGGTCATGCAAGCCTATATCAAGGGATGGCTTGGAGCAAGGAGGTACAAGAAAGTCAGAGAGAAAAGAGAAAATAGTGCTGTTACCATACAGTCAGGTACATGTTGACATTCCCGATTTCATTGAGCGTCTTTACACTTCAAGCTGTTAAATTGCATGTACATTATTTATTCATTCATAATAACCAGAGGTGCTTTTTTCTCCAGCTAATTGATGCAAATATTATCTATTTACTCCTAAGGTGTCATCTTAGTATTTGGTAATGTCTTTATTTAAATATTTTAGTATTTTGGATGTGATGCCTGAGCACAAAATGAAAATATTGTTAGGTATGTCTATGCTAGCATGCAGCATATAAATGAAATGCAGTAGCTTGCCCCCTCCTCCCCCATGTATATGAGAATTACAGATAACATACGTCATGGGGTGGGCCTGAGAGAATGATTATGAGTAATTTAGCAGGCTTCCTTATATCGAATTTGGGGAGCTGTGTGAGGAGGGGAGTTCTTGTGCTGACATGGTCATGCACCTTTGCTTTTTGAGTTATGACATCAGTGAGCACATGGTGACAATTAAAATTTGGACGAGTGAAGTGGTGTTTGAAGTTGTGGGGATGTGAATACTGCAGTCATGAACCCAGAGTTCAACATGTGGGTGGGTGGGGAAGAGGTACTGGGGGTGGGGGCTGGAGTGGTTATGGCAGGAGGGATGAAAGTTTCAGCACATCTCTGACTCTCTAGACTCTGTAGCACTTCCTTAAATAAATGTAATTTCCAGCACATGGTTTTGTATTTTTAGCCTGGAGAGGATATGAAGCTCGCAGGAAGTACAAGGAAATAAGGAACAGAAGAACTGATGCCGCTATACATATTCAAGCAGGTAATTAAAACATTATTTCAATTGCCAACACCTATTTTGCTGTGGGTGAATTCATGTATCAGTGTTTATAGCCGAGACATACAGACAGTCCAAACAAAAGCTATCAAAAACATTACTTCTGATGGTTTTTCTTCAATATCAACATGAGTGACAGGTATCATGCACTTTGGCCTTTTTGCAAGTACTTGTCTGGAAGAAAAACATACTGATTAAGCGCTGTTGAGTTAATTCTTTATGATTCTTCTGAGTACAGTCAGTATGATTCAACTATATCTAGAGCTGGTATGAAGCACTGCATTGATTTGACTAAAAGTGTGGATGGGAGGCACTGGACATGCATTTCTCTGTGTCAAGCCCTGATCTTGGCAGGTTGCCAGTTTTTGTTTTGACTGCTTGCTGGGTTTGCCAGCTTTGGCCAATCTTTTGACTCTCTGCCAGACTCCTATGCAGCCATATCAATATGAATTTGAATAAACTTTAAAGAGATTATTGGAGGAACAGGCCCATAGGGCTGTGTAGGTCTCTAGTAGAGAGCAGAGTACCATATGGCACAGAAATCTAAGAAGCAGTACTGTGAACTCAATGGTGTTTTCAGATGCTGCCAAAATGAAGCAGCCTTCAATGTAATACACCTTCCCTGTCCAACCCCAGGTGGAAAGACTGTAGCCCATCGAAAATGAGTTGCAGCAAATGTGTTTATAGATGAACCAAGGTACCACCTTCATTCTACCAGCATCCTGTGCTATAGTTCCTTAAGCTTTGTCACTTCTCTATTCTGTATCATATAGTCTAAAGTCAGTCTGAAAAAGACATGTTCTAAATATTCTTTTACTTTCTTCTCAAGATGTTTCCAGTAAATTAATTTGTTTTTCTTTTGTCTTAAGTTTGCTGCTCTGAAATTAAGCATTGCTGTGACTTTCAGCAGAAAACAGAATACCGGTCTAGTTACGGAAAGCAACAGAGTATCATCAGGATAAAGTAATAATTTTTAGCTTTGCATGCATACTGTTATGTAGAATCATGAACTGTAGCTCTAGGGTCAAATGCAAGATATATTAAATGGAGAACTGTTAAGGAGAAATTTTTTCTCCAATTACAACAAGCACTGGAGGACTGCATAAGCACTCTCTCCCCTTCTTCCTCCCCTTTGTGTTATCATTTTCTATTGTTTTCATGATAGCACAGAGAATAGATCTTAAAGTACCCCCTGCCACTATTTGCTGGAGTATTTACTACATTTACACTTGGCCATACCTGGACTTTGGTTTCCTGACTTACAACAGCCTTTTGCCGTAAAAAGGAAAGTGAAAAAGTTGACCCATTGCTGTCCCACTATTACAAGCTCCTATCTATTACAAGATGAGAGTTATCTCAGGTTCAGGAGGCAGCTGGTGTGTAGCAATATCACTAGGAGAAATTCTGCCTTAGAGTTTTATCCAGACAGATTTCTTAGGCGGATAAGAGATGCATGCTCATTACTAGCTTTTTAGAGAAAGCAACTGATCTGTTCTGCTATTTGCACACATGGGAGAGATTCAGAGCTGTGTTCCTCCCTGCCACCTCTTAGATGCTGCGTTGAACATGGCAGAACAGAGGCAGTGGGAGTGTGTGCATACCCTTGAATTGGACACTTCTGTTGAGCCCTCTGGACCTAATGCTGGAGGAATGCTTTTAGCACTCTTCCCACCAACACACAGTCTTCCTTTGTAACCTGGCACTTGACCGTTTCAGTGATCAGTCTGGGTGAATAAGCATTAGGACTATAGGGTTAAGAGTGACACAGTGCACCTTTGTATTAATTAGGCTGTCTGCTCCTCCTATCTTTGGTGCTGCATTCGAAGGGGTGTAATCATAATAATCCTCAACACATTTCTGTCTGCCTTTGGAAACCTATATCTAGGACTTCATACTTGAAAATTTTTCCTGTGTACATTTTGTCTTCTCTACATGCTAATCATTCTGTGTTTCAAATCAAAGCTCATGCTTGCTAACAGTGGCCATTTTCCAGGTTTTAAAATACACTGACAGTCTTTCTGTTGTTTACATTACACTGTCCAAGTGCCTAGTGACGTGGAGACAAAAGCAACTCCAAATCTCTCCCTCCTCTGCACATCTTATAATGTGAGTGTGTAGTTCAAGGCAGCTGTTCAGTAAAATGGAGTATGATCACCTTCATATTTTTTTTTTTAAAAATGAGCCTTTTCAGGCAGTGAGGTAGATTGTATTGCATTTGTCATCCAGACATTAGCAAAACCATATAATTAAAAAATATGTACTTCCCTCTCCTTTCCCTCCCCCCACTCCCTGCTCAAGCAGGCCTTGAAATTTAGGAAGCATTTGGCTTACATGTTTCTACAGAACAGCGCATATTGAAATTTGTTTTCCTTTCATCTCTTTCCCAATAAAAGCAGCCGCTCGGCTTATCCCTTTAGCTTCCTCAGAACTTCCTTTCAGAATTCCCGATCTATTACAGCACATTCACATACCAGAAACAAGATGCCTTTTCATGCTGTCAACCTTTTTCATCTGAAATGTAAATTAATTCTTGCTGGTACGCTTTGACAGAGATCAAAGTAGGGGTATTAACCTTATTGGGCCTTCTCTTCATCAGAATCAGTTCCAAAGACTGCGAGGGTACTGTTAGGAGGCCAGTCTTCACTGTTATCTGTGGCCCTCCTCCAGGCAGTCCTCTGTCTACAAGTCAGCATTTCAAAGGCGCTGATTTCTTTTGTAAATGACCTTATCATTACTTTAAACTGTGTGAAAAATGATTTGCCTGAATAATTCTTGCAGGATTATCCTGCTCATTTTAATTGTGGGGGGACTTCATTCAGATTCCAGGATATTGTTTAAGTGGTTTTGACAGCAAGTGATCATAGCCTGATATAAAGGAGGAACACAGCTCCTGATTGGAAACCTCTTGACTTGTTCAGATTGTTCATTTCTTGCAAGTCAGTCTTTGAGGTAGGCTGCATTTGCATTTTAAAAATAAACAGATGCCTTTCAAATACATGAGCTGGTGGTCTGGAGATCTCTGTGGGCCCAGCAGTTCACTATCCATTGAAGAAATATTGGAAGCAAAAACAAACTTAGGAAAAAAACAACCCTCGCAATATACATGAGGATACAATTCCTGAGTGTATTATATTACACAAAAAAAAGTCATTATTTCAGATGGGGGAAAATACCCTTGCTAGGAAACAAAATATCTGTGAATTTAAATTAGGTGGGGAAGAAAAAGCTACCCTACTTCAGCATGTCTATATCACAGGTTCTCAGAATACACAGATGTTATTAGACTCATGGCTAAAATGGTACATAGGGTACACAATATCTTTCCTACTTCTTCCAGTCACATTTCCCAAACTGTGAAGGTTAGAAAATGCTAATTTTTAACTCATAGACAAATTGGAAAGAATGGGTTTGAGTTAACAATACTTTGTAAATAGGATTTGTATTGTTTTGATTTACATCTACATAAAAGGAAAAATATTTTGTTAAAATAAAGAATTTTTTAATCATGTTGCCAAATTCACAGCTGGTTTAAGTCAGTGTATATACACTGAATCATTTGACTGAAATGTTGCTGCACTGATTTACCTCACATACAAGCCTCGTTTAGTGTTTCTTTGTATTAGAATAATGCAATAATTAGAATTTAAAACAATAGGTAATACAATTATAAAAGTACATTTTCTAGTTATGATAGCATGTATTTCCATGCAGTGTGACTATTGTCCCAAAAGACTTAAAGGAGGATTTTAATCTGGTTATTTCATTTGTGAACTGACGTTGCCAAAATGCCAAATGAGTGGTGCATGCGATTCACTTAGATCCGAGGTGACATCACTGAATTCATTTTAATTAGGCCCACTTTAGCCATCTGGAATATACTGTGCAGCTCTGGTCAGGACTGAGTTTAACTATGCTTCCAGAGGTGAAAGGCAAATGACTAATCCATTGAGCCACCATCTCCTCCTCCAACACGTGCTCGCACACTCACCATATGTCACATTGTATTGGAAAATTCTTTATCAAGAACTCAAGATTTGGGCTATTTTTTTTTTTAAATTAAGAGTGATGGATGTTCAGAAGAAAACCAGATGAAGCATCCCTTTGTAAATTGCTGCTTTCTGTAACTTCTGCCCATCCGGTGTTGCTTGGTATTTACGTATCTCTAACATGCGCTTCTGGCAAAATACTCTATTTTAATAAAAAAAAAAGAGGGCCTGAGAACAGCTGTAATTTACTATTTTACATTTATAAAAAATGCAAGCTTTCAATAAAAGTGTTACCTTTGGGATTTTCAACAGCAAAGATTTAATATTGGCTTCAAAAGGAAAAAGGAAGTATTTCTTGAAAACCCTGTATTTATTCGTCTATTTATATCACTATGTACATGTGTGTGTACATGTATTCAGCTAATACTGTTGTATAGTTCTAAGAATTACATAAGTAAAATGGTCCAAAAACTTCTAAGCACTTTATAAATATATCTAAATATATATTTTTTAAAATTTTCCTGAAAATAACAACCACTAAGTAGCAGATCCAGTTTCCCTTTTTTTATATGATTAATTTTCTTCTTTTTAACTACATTGTCAGGAACCATTGAAGAGATGTATGTGTTTCTCTTAATGGCAGCTGAACTGGTTCATTGTATTACCTTGATTTCACATTCAGGGTAAACCAGACTGGTTTGTACAGACTGCACAGCTTTGGTTAACGTTACTCTTCCATCTCTTTGTTTTCTGTACTAGCTTAGGGCATTCAGTAATTCTACACTTTTAGTATCTATCTAGTAACCATTAAAAGCCTGCTGCTCATGTGCAAGGAACATATTAGGAAAAGCGAGGTGAGACCTTACGGTTTTGAAGTATGAGGTCCTGTATTCCTCCTTAATTCATCCTTAGCTAAGCTAAGCTCAGAGATGTGAATACATCTGCATTTCCTTTTGGTTTTCTCTCCTGTTTTTGAGGAGATGAAAAGGAGACCATTCTTACTGGTGTTCATGCCCTTGCTAAAATCAGGAGGGGACAACAACAATTGTCAAACAATACATGGGAAAACAGATTCCTTTCGCTTGCTGATATTGACAAAGAGTTTCGCAATCATCTTCACTTTCTTTGACCAAGTCTCAAGGTCAGAGACTGTAGTGCATGGTGATTAAAAATGTACGTCCAAGTGGTGATGTGCATCAGCGACACCAGTCCTGATGGCAGCCTTGGTGAGCCTTCCTAGTAGCCACTGCTTGTTACTGAGAGTTACTGCTTATACTGCTTTCTTGTAACGCTTCTGCTGGAGAACTTAAGACAAGGGTTGGGGTTTTTTGCTCTTAAACAGGCATCACTCAATATTCATCCAGAGTGAGAGGTGAAAGAGGAGAGGTATTCATGGGACTCAACAAAGGATGTCATTCTCCATCTTTTTTACTGTTCATTAGAATTAAATTTGGCATGGAGGGAAGAATCAGATTCATGGGCTCCATGAATCCTCTCGGATGTTGTTAGTTAAGCTGCTGAATGCTCTTTTAACCAGGCAAATTAAGAAAGTGATACGCTGTTTGTAGCAAATCAACTTCTGATTACAAACTGTCATGATATCTTGTCTTCAGCAAGCGTGAGCTTTCATTGCTGAGATGCTGTTATCTACTATTTTAGGTGATATTATAGATCAAAAATGTGTCTGTGTAGAAAATGTCTGCTTAACATGGTTTTTTACGACTGAGAATGAATCCTTCTGCTGTTTAAAATACTACTTCATCTCCTTTTTTTATACTTCTTGTATAGACCTGTGATTGTTTAGCTTTGATCTTTCTACATTGTGCTTCACAATTTGCTCCGTAACTATATATTTCCTATGGGAATCGGAGGGAAAAATGCCTGGACTTTTCCTATCTGGAACTGTGCAACATTTTGTGTAATGTAGATGCCTTGTTACTTAGACCTTAAAATTCAGGTTTTTAACTGCAGGACACCAAATTTCAGACTCCCTGAGGTAAATATGTTCTTGGTTTGCTAGGTGCTGGAGCTGACAGAAAACTTACTGTGTGTGAGAACTGATCAGTCCAAGAAGTAAAAATTCATTTTCTAAATTGTGGCACATAAAACATTTAACACCAAGTTACTAATAGAAGTGCTAAAATTAAGTTCAGTTCCTATATTGCTTTTCAGATCCTGTCATCTTTGGCTATGTAAAAATCAGGGTTAAAGATACTGTTGCTGGAAAGTTTGGAATATAGAGTGGATAAGGTGAAAATGAGGTGACAGCTGGTAATCATTCTTCTTCAATGATGCAGTGATTGTTCATGGAGCAGTAGCAACATGAGTCTGCTAATTTCACACTCTTTGAGCCAAGTGCTTAGTGTCAAAACCAGCACCAGTCAGTAATGCAAATTGCTGTGATGGAGCAGCTTCCCAGCCTCTCAGACTCCCCCAGTAGGATTCTCTGCATATGCATTTCTTTTGAAACATTATAGATCCAGTTAATAAATGTTGAAAAGATGCGGTCCTACTAATGCTCGATGAAGCTTTTGAGAGAAGTTTGTTTATCCTGCTACTTCAGTTATCCCATGAGTCAAAGGGAAAGTAGGAAAAATACAGCCATTTACCTCTCAGATTCAAGGTATTCTAGAAGAATGTTAGAAACCAGCTTGTGGAAAGGTTAAGTTGAAGAGGAGTTGATATTGAAAATATGCATGAAAACAAAAGACAGGCTAAAAACTATGTTTATTAAATCAGATATAGCAGGTTTTGTGTAGTGAATAAGGGAAAGACCAAAATGGTTATACTGACATTAATAAGAGGCTCTGGGAAAAAGAAAAATAATTTTAAAAAATAAAATCACAGAAGGTATATGGGTTTATTTTATAGACACACACATGCAAAGAACTATTAAAAGTTGAGAAATTACTAAGGATAAAACTGAATTTTATCTTATTAGTTCATTTGTTTCAGTGCTTCTTTATCTTTATAGTAGTCCATCGACTGACTGATACTCGGCGTGTTTCAGCTGCAGAGAGGTGGCTGCTGGCCAGCTGTCTCTGCTGCCAATATCGGAGTAGGCTCCTTGTCTGGTCAGTAGGGGATAGTTAAGGATTGGAAGCCTGATCACATGGGGCAAGTGAATGCTTGCCTCTCCTCTGCCAAACAGGCAGACTTTTCCAGTCTGATTATTAAGGGCAGAAAGTTCCTCAGCCTCACAATACCTAAGCTCTGTATTCAGTAAAACACCTCAGCAGGTCCAGCTTCTGTCATGCCTTCTGTAAAGTGAATGGTTATTTATTTTAGTAACCTCTCATTAAAAGGCAATTTTTGCTGCTTCTTACCCTGGAAACCTCAGTAGCACTGAAATGCTTGGATTGTTATGGTGCATTGCATACCAGAGCTTGAATTGTTCAGATGGTTTTAATTTTCTTATATTGCACAAATTAGTGCAACACCACACGTTTTTGTGGAGGTAGGTGGCTGAAAAGACGACCATTAACACTATACAGGAATTAAAATAGAAAAGAAGGAATTAGTTACAGCCCTTTCCTAAGGGAAGGAGCAGATGCAATCGAAATAACTCTATTTTGTTTCCTCCACCATTTTTTCACTACACAAAAAAAACCATGAATGGGGAGCTAAATTTATAAGAGTAGTTAAATGGAAGAAAAGGTAAATCAATTGATTATTTCATAATTTGGTAATAATTGTGGGACTGTAAATTCTTACAGGGTCTTTATTCTCTGTTGTGTAGGTAATGCCTACTTCTAGTGTCTTCATAAAAACAGAGATGTGAGATACAAGGAAAACTTGTTAACCTTCTGATCAACTTCTCTATTCTCAATTTATTCTGTATTCTGTATGTATTCTACCTCCTGATTTCCCTTTGTAATGTACAATGTTATCTTGACCCTGATCCCACATGAGGTTGCCCTAGACCCCATTTCTGTGCCTATCTTACATCCCAGTGTAGGATACTATTTAACTATTTAACCCTGGACTCTAGGAACCCCAATGAGAGGGCTCTTCTCCTCCTTTGGGTAATTAGTCCCCCGACTGACCCTGTGTTTGCACGTTTAGGGTGCTTAACAGCTTTTCCTGGACAGGGATTTTTTTTTTTTTTTTTCCTCAAAATCATAATATTTCCTGATCTTAGCTCCAATTTTCTTTTACATAATGTCTCATTGTTTAAGGTGCGGTCCTGCTAGACTAATAAACAGCTCCTTTCCCTCACAACCCTCAGCCTTCTTATTCAGCAGCTGCTTGTTGTACACTTCAACTATGGCATTGATACTGTACAAGCTCTCTTTATTATTCTGCCATTTCTCCCCTTTTATCAAGGAATTTCTACTTAAAATAATGCTTGAAGTAAACCTTACAAAAAATAAAATTTAACCATTTGTGGTTTTAAAGTGTACATTGCAATACTTTTTAGGCTTTTGTCCGAAGTGCATTATCACTATCTGTGGTTTGTGATGGAGCTTTATTACTAACTGCTCACAGGTGTCAAGGATTCAAGCAAACTCTTGTCAGATAAAACTACAGAAGTAATTAAGTTATTTAGGTACCCAAATCCAGAGACAGTCCATGGAAATAAAGGATGTAGATATCTTCAAAATGTTGTTCCTTGCCATTTTCTTTGCCATTTCACTTCACTGAATGCTTGCTACTTCATTTAATATTTCTAGTGATTGTTTTGTTCTGCTCTTCTTATTGAATGGTATAAATTCCAATCTGTAGGTTTTTTCCCTGATTATTTGTATGAGAGATATTTTAAATGTTTTATTATGGTTACAGTTAATTGAAAAATAGGAGAAGACATTATTAATTTTTCTAGTTTTAATTTAATATATCTGTCCCTGGCTCCTCACCCTCTTACCCACAATAAAAGCAGGTAAAACTTCTGATTCTGTAAAAGTCTGACTAGCTCAAATCATGGGAGTTGTAATTAAAGAAGGTGTTTTGGGAGTGATTTTCTGCTATGTATTTTAATATATTCTCAGCTAGATTTCTACTTAAATTAGACATGTTCTCATTTCGAGGCCTGTTTTCCTTGCCTGGGCTGTGCTAAGTGGTCACTATAACAATGAATGTAAGACCTGTATAATTTCCAGCTGTTGTTAACATTGCAAACATTGGAGCCACCCCTGTGAGGTGCTAAGTGTTCTTCCTGTCCACTGGTTTAGCAAAAGTTGAGGGCATTCAGCTCTGGACTGCAGAGCCAGATGCCAGTCTGCATTTCAGGCTCTGCAGAATTTTTCTCTGATTCGTAACTTTTTTTAGCTTTCAGGGGATATATTGTTCGTAAAAACTACACAAGATTGAAAAACAGCACTGGCTGTGTAGCAGATCCTCAGCTTATGAGCAGCTGCTCTACTTCTGATTTTGGCTGTGAAGAGCACTGGTGAGTTGAATCCTTTGCTGTCTATTATCTAACAAATCATTTTCCACACAATGACATCTGAAAGGAGCAGGCGTGTCATCGTGATTCAGCCAGCTCTTAGGGAATCTGCCATTTTCTGAGGATGAGCACCTGTAGGTTGGCCAGTCCCCCTGCCAGCTTAGTCATCTCAATGTTCTCCCAGTTAGCGGAATTAGATTTATTTGCAGTGCTGTTTGTCCTGGGTTGCTGTCCTGTTTCTGTGCACTTCTCAGAAGTACCCAGAATACTGTAGATAGCGGACAGGATTGCAAGTGCTCAGCATTTCAGAATTGACTGCAGTGCATGTTATTAAATTCTCAAGAGTAGAAAGTTACCCTTCTGTGTCTGTAAAGCTCCGTGCAGACCAACAATGAGATAGGGAAAAGAGCCATAAGAAGCAGATGGACAAGTCGCCAACAGAAAGCCTAGGAATACTCTAAGCCATAATAGTGGTGCCCTTCTCTTTGTAGACAAAAGGGTGTTTTAACCTTCCTTACCAATGGAGTCACTCCAGACCAATGTCCCCTTAACAATTCCTTGGGTATAAGAGGCAAGAAGGATCTGTTACATACTCAGCTGTTGTCAGAATCTCTCTCTCCAACAGTGTTCTAGGAGAGGTAGCTGCGTTTGCTGGATTAATCCATTTGATCAGCAAGTTTCAGTGACTAAGAGTTATGAGATCTCTCCTGCTGTGGCATGGGCATGAGGACATCTCAGTGCTTCTTCCAGTTCTTATTTCTGTTACTTTATATGCTTCCTATATAGCATATAAATACAGATTCTGTTACACCTCTTAAGAGCTCTCTGAGGAAATGAATGACTTGCTTGACTGTAACTAGATGCTGTTACTGAATTCTTAATGGAGAAGGCTTTTTTTTTTAAATAAGTTACCTTCTCCAGAATGATTTTTCTTTCTCTCTGTATGCTTATAACATTAAGTTATGTTAACTTCCATGCTAACTTTGGACAATTTTGTCTGAATAATGTCTGCTACATGCTCTGGTGCATTATTATAGGATTTTGTTCAGATGTAACCACCTGCATTCTTGTAGGTTAATAGTGCTCCAGAATCTCTTCCTTGCAGTATGCTGTTTTCAGCAAGAAAAAGATTCAGGCCATTGAACAAGGAATAAATAAATAGGCAGATAAATAAATAAATAAATAAATGTTTTCAGTAATTATTTTCAGGGAAAAGAATGAGCCCACTGCAATTTACTGTCATAGTTCTGTCTTTGGGTTGCCTCACTGCTTACTGGGGCAATGAGTTTCCTAATTTATGATTCCTTTCAGGTGCATGCAGCTCTTTCTGTTTCTTAAGTACTTAAGGGGTGTCTATCTTGTGATCTCTTTAAAACTATTGATGATCACATGGTCATTTGTTCTCTAGCCTGCACTGATGTTTGAAAGCAAGAGCTAATAATCTGTCTATTATCAGTTTTCTTTGGTATCCCAAATTATAATTACTTACAACGTAAATAGATTTTTTTTTTTCTTCTTTTTAGTGATCTAGAGCTTTCATATGGACTTATTTGGAGACACACAGCCTCTTTAAACTTTTTTCCTCATCTTTTTTTATGTGTAGTTAGCCAGGAATGGTTTTCTTCCCCTTTTGCATTGGACTGTTTCTCAAATTCCTTGTTGCTCTCCAAACAAATGTATTTTTCTGGATTAGGTACAGCTTGCTTAATTCTACATCCCTTGAGACTCATGAATATTTTATGGTTCAGTAACTGTTGACGTGAATTTGGGCTCTATGAAGCACAAATATACAGAAATTTAAGATATTCAGTCACCGAACTTGCACTGAAATCAATGTCTTAAATGCCTTTAGATATCTGCCCTGAAGGTGCCTATGTAAAATACATTGGCCATTCAGGTCTTGCACCCAGTCTTGATACCTGTGCACGATCACACAGATAAATAAATTCATACCTTCTTTTGCCTGGAGTTGCTAAACTGCCATTACTGCTGGCAGTTCTCGAGTTTAACCCCAACAAATATTGCAGATTATTTGCCTAATCCTGTAAATTTCTCAGCAATGTCCTCAGGTTCTAGTGACTTCAGTGAGACTTGAAAATGTTAAGCATTTCACAGGTGATATTCAGAATCTTACAACTAAACCTGATAACTTACTTCCCATAAATCAAGCCTCACTTCTATGTGTAGCTGTTACTTGGCTGTTGTGTTTTAAGCATATGGCTGTTCAGTCATACAGGAAACTTGTCGGAAACAGGAAGGCTGCTGAATAATAGTGCAGATGTTTAACACAGTAGCTGGTAATTTGTCCCTAGAGAAGACAGCCTTACTGTGGCTTCACGTACCATGGAACTAGATTACAGAATAATAAAATATTGTTTTATCTTCATTTCCTTTAATTTCTTTTATTTTTGTTTCTTTTTTTTTTTTCTAACTGGTAGTTTTGGAAAATTAAAAATGAGCTTAAAGGTACTCAGGATCAGAAAGCAAAATCATATACAGTTCTGTTCTGTTGTATGCACAAGAATATAACTATACATTTAAATATATGACAACCTGCTGCTTTTTCAAAGATCTGTTAAAAAAAGAAGTTACAGTGTTGGAATAAATATAAAGCACTCAGTTTTACTAATGAATGAATTTCAAAGTGTTCAGAAGAAATGGGCACTTTAAAAAAAATTAATTCCTTCAAGGAAATTGAATCTCTACACCTAGTTCACACTTTTCAGTCAGTGAATGCAGGACATAAACAAACTCAAGCTAATAAATGACATAGAATGCAAATTAAATGCACACATTAGTTCATTTAACATTGCATGTTAAGTGTTTCCTGCATTTATATGCTTGACTTGAAAACCCATATTAACTGTGTTCAAATGCAGAAATCTTTCCTGTATGAATCTGAAGTCACAAGTAACAAAAGACACATTGAGAATTGGCAAATATCTCTGATAGGAATAGAAATAGGTATAGCAAAGTAATGTAAACTTTAGCAGGGAGGTAGGTTTGTCTTCTTGAAAAAATATTTTTCATTCAGTTCCACAAAGCTGTGGAGTTGCCTGTGACTCCTTCTACTGAAAAAGGGTCGTGGGATTAATTGTACACCTGGGAGACTGACATTAAATCTGAATTCCCCACAAAATCCAATGTGTGTACGTGACACTTGCCAAGCCTTTTCTTGACATCAGCTACTGAGAGGAACCTGCAGACCCGCGTGGCGTGAAGGAGCTGAACCACAGTTGAACCCTTTCCCAAAGTAGCTCATTGAAAACTTTAAAAGGGCAGAGTTATTTTAGAGAGCCAAACATGATCAAGACTAAATTCAAATGAGGAAAATTAAAAACTTTCAGAGCCCTTTTTACAGCCGTGCTGAGCAGCAGATTTACCCTTCTGCACAGGGCTGAGCAGGCGGCAGAGGAGGGAGGAGTGTTACAGGGTTTCCCCTCTCACAAGGCCAGCGCAGACACCAGCCTCGCCTCATACCTGTCTCCATTTTACAATTGGTCATCACGTGAAATCAAAGACACTGCGTTTTGCAATGGCATAGCTACAATTTCAAGTTAGTATTAGGGGTCTCTTGAGCTAATTAGGAATAATCTGTGGAGAAGGGAGAAGTAATTTATAAAACGTCCTGTGGTTTTTAACTTGTTTGACAGATCTCTAGTGAATATGTATTTCATAAATGTCCTTGTTCTTAGGAGGATAATCAGTGACTAAGGGCCTTAATCTATGCTACGTTGTTCATGTTCTTATTTAGCTGTCATCCTCAGGTATCTTTAAATCCCTTTAGAATCTCGCCAAAGCATCTGTAACCTGCGTGTTCCACCATCTTCTTATCCATTTCCCTCCCACATGAAAATTGTGTTAAATAATAATGATCTGATACTTACCCTAGAAAATACTTCCTATATTGTTCTTTTTTTCCTCTAGCTCACTGAACTGTATATAGCTCAGTGACTGCTAAATACCACAATCTAAGTTAGCTATATGTACATGATCAGTGGCCTTATACTATGTACTACAGTAGAAAACTTTGTTTCCACATAGTGACTTCATTACACATGAGTTACGGCTGTAACTATAACAGCGTATCAGTGAGTATCCCTTCCTCACTGTTAAGGATGCATGTTAGAAGATACTTGACATCAACAGCAGTTTACACTCTTGTGTCAAATTCATTCTGATTTTTCTTCTTACATCTTTCTCTCTTTAGCTAGTTGGTATCATGTTCATGCTTCGGTCAGCATACGTTCTCAGAAACTGTTCATTTTAGTAAAACTCTTGACATTCACATGAGACTTAGGTAATCAAGGCTGGATAATAAAGCCTGAACAAAACTACACAGGCATACGAACTTAGGTGTTTGGAAAGTTATAGGCAAAGAATAATTATCAGCGTTTCTCTGTTCTACAGGAAGTACGCATCTGAAAGTCAAATTCCACAAATGTGTTTATTTCTACTTATTAATGGCTTGACAAAGCAGAATCTGATTACTAAATTTGTATCAGTACTAAGTGAGTGATGGTTACAAGGGTTTAAGAGGATTAGAATTAGAAACAGAAGTACATGGACTGTAATAAACCACAAAATGAATGTCAGTCAGTAATGGCACCCTACTCAAAAGTTTACATTGGGTAGTAGCAATGAGGATACATGCTACCTCACATGTGCATCATAACATTTTCTCATCACTATCAGACCCCAGAGCCTTCAGATGAATGCCATCAGGTCCTGGTGATTTACTGCTTACACCTTTCTCCTATTGATCCATAATTTCCTCTTTGGATAATTTCAATTTTTGTCAAGACCACGCTGTCATTTCTTCTATAAGTCATCTTTTGAATATGAATTTTCATTTCTTTCCAGAGTAAAAGCTGTTGTAAAGACATTCTGCTTTCCTTTAATTACTTCAGTTTCCTATTTGTAATCATAGCAAACATTAAGGTTATTGCTTGCGATGGAAATAGGAGGTCTGCAATTCCTGTGGCATGCAGTGGAACCCATTGGGCCCTGATTCTCCTGTCATGTGAGCTTCTAATTACTTCACAGCTCATTTTACAGTACTTTACGGTACTACTGCTGTGCTGCCTTCCTGTTGCTATTGCATTTTTCATACTGCATACTAGCCAAACTTTCAGAATAGCTCAGAGACTGATCTTGAGGTGCTGAGCACCTACAGTTGATGCCATGTTTTCAGAAGTGTTCTGTGCCAGTTTGACATTGCGGTGGGTTGACTTTGGCTGGCTGCCAGGTGACCACCAATCTGCTCTGCCACTCCTCCTTCTCAACAGGATGGAGGGAGAAAAATTCAACAGAAGGCTTGTGAATAAAAGCTAGAAATCATGAAATACATACTCGTATCAGCAACAGTACATTCTGTGGAAGGATGGGGTATCTTGTGCCAAATACCACCCAACTTAGGATTGTTCTAGTTAGAAATATGGCATCACTGGGATCCTGAAAGACAGTTGGGGTCTAAGGGCTTCAGAATTCCAGAGGCTGATTTTTGCTAGCTTAAGCTATACAGAAGGCAAGCTGTTGAACTTTACCTTCATGTTTTAAACATTTAGACAATGTTCTAGCCCTGGAAAAGTTGGAGTACTGGCAAAACCATACTAAAGTCTAGATTTTTTTTTGTAGAAGGTAGAGATTAGTTCAAGCTGCATATTTAGATCCAGAGCCAAACCACCCCAAAACCTGAATATTTAAATTTAATGATGATTCAGTCCATTTTGGCATTGTAGGCCATTTGCCACATAGTGATCCAACAGCACTGCTTTTAAATCCACCACAGTGATATTCAAGAATTATTCATGATTTTTAGTTCATATCGGGTTTATTTTCTGCAGTATTGGGGATTGTGAGAATGAATCATCTCAACAAATGCTTGAGTAATTTTGGGGAAAAGTGGCAAGTCATCTAACCCCACTGAATAAATGGTTATCTAAGTAATATATATACCAGATAAATAGTAATAAAGAACTTTACCTGTAATATGGTACATGCACAAATGCAATGTCAAATATAGTCCTAGACATATTATATACTTCTCTGTACAAGAAGTGTGCCAGTACAAAATGAGAATGCATTTTTAACACGCATCCCTTCATTTCCTCCAAGGAAAACACCAGTTTAAATTCAAATTACATTTTAGGCAGAATGTTTTCCTTTTCTTTCTTTTCTTTCTTAGTGTCAGAGAGTAAAGGGGAATTTAAATTCCCCAAACCTGACAAGCAAATCCAACTTCATTTATGAAATTGCAACATTACAGGAAAGCTGAATGTTTACCATGTTCATGAACGCTTCATTTTGTTCCCACACCCTGAGGTAGCTTATCGACAACCGTGATGCCATCGTTGTTGTGATTAGTTTGCAACAATTCAAGCCAATGCTTTTGAGCTGGGGTAACACATTCAGACAAACTTAATTAGCCTAAAAGCCTAAATGCTATTACGAATAGGGCTTGAAATATTTCAGTAGCCTCTGTGGATGTCACAGAATAAATGTGTTCTCTAATATATATCCATGGTGATATACAGCTACTAAATTCAATACATAATAGTCTAAAATTTTTCAAGTCCTTCAGTAGTGCTATTTTAATCAACCAATTAAGTGTTTTTAAAGTGTACATTTTAAAGGTGCATTTTGAAAGGTAAAAGGCACATGTGGTCAGACATATTTTTAAAGTACAACGTTGTTCTATTGTTACATGAGTAATTTATAACTAGCATTGCCGACTGAAACATAGGTATTGACAAAAAATGAAATTTGAGATAGTATACATTGTATTTTTTAATCAGTAAAGCAATTTTTGCTCTTTACATTCCCCCTTCCCATTGTGGCCAAAAGGGCTGAAATGTATTCAGTTGTCATAACTGTGTAAAACTGAAAGAGCTACTTAGTATCTTGTAAAGCTTTTCCATGTCGATGAAAAAAGCTATGTTATATGTCTAAAGCAAAGTTTATGGCTGAAGCATATATTTCAGATGTTTATAAGTAGAGATACAACTGACATTAATTGTATTTTCAGAAAAGTTGTGAGGGGGTTGCAGAGTAATGATGCAATGGCTGAGGCATGTTTTGACAATCAGAAAATCTTGCTCTTAATCCTAGTTTCAGGACCATGAGCATATCAGTTAATATCTGTGAACCTCAGGTTTTTTATCCATCAAATGAAATTGGGAGCATCTTTTTTTGGTTTTGCATAGCTAAAGATTCTGGAGCAAGTTCTGTCTGGGTGGACTTTACTATTGAAGAGATCCATTGGCTTCAAAGGCCTGACAAGGATCAGGGCCTGCAGAAGATTTTTATGATACTTTAATTAGCATTAATGAGAGCAGGAATTGGCCTTTAGTATTTTTATGGTGACATAATGTGATCATAAAATAATAATAGATATAGACAAAGAATCTAAGAACACTTACTTCTTGCTCTGTGCTTAACCCAAATGGCTTTAGGAGAACACAAAGCCATGTATTTAATTTCTTCCTCATCCATCACATTTTGAGGGTCTAAGTTTAAATTCTGTGAAAACAGATTTTCACAGCCCTGGAAAAAAAAGTTTAGTGTAAAATCTTGTCAAATTAATTTTAATACATTACTTCAATTTTATAGAATTCTCATAAACTCATTTTACACATATGCACATATCCACAAATTTTTAATGACAATTTCATTGCTCATAGCCTGTTACTGTGTTTAATAACATGCACTTCCTTATAAAAGGAAATAGGACTGGTCTGTTTTCTCTGAATTGATTGTATGTGCATATTTAGAAATTGGGGGAGGAGGGGGGAAAGGGAAAAAAATGTGTATGCCAGTAAACCCTTCATAAGAATGAAGAAATTACAATATTTAAACTAAATATTTTATTTTCCTTTGCTTTTAGGCAGCAAACCAGTAACCAGCCTTCTCCTGTGGTGCCCGATTTTCTTGACAAACAAACAAAAAAGGTATTACTAAGTTTATATTCTAAAATAACATCACATTATAACTTCAAATTCCTGAGTCCACAGTTCTGCAATGTGTTCATGGCTGCTTGGCATAGCCATCTGAACATGAAACCGTTAGTGATGTTTTGAAGTCTTTGAGACAAAAGCCTGCTTGCTAAGAACTTTAGTTCTGTAGAAAGACAGGGAGGTACAGTGAATAAGAGAATCAAAAGGCTGGAAATTTGCTGCTGAGAATAAATGCTAGCTGCTCCCTGAGGTGATTTGTCTGTGCACTTCACTTTCTACAGATGTTAGAGACTCTTTTTTAGTAAGGACCTGAGGTTCTTTGGTAGCACTTTGATATCCTGCTCGAATTCAATATGTGAAATGGAGGAGTCGCTCTGTGACTTGGAGCACAGCATAGTCTTTGAAGTCTGATCCAATTTTTGCTGCTTACCATTTGATGTTGAAAGGATGAAATGGAGAAAATGTACAGTTTTTGCCAGTAACTCTGCTGAGCATATGTAAGATTAAAAAAACAAAATCCCTTGGATGATGTACTTAGAAATGTTAAGCAGATTAATACCTTCCTATAGCTTTTTTCTAAAGATACAAATTAACTATGAGAGCAAATCAGCATACAGTGCATGCTATGATTTAACTGCATGAGGAAAGGGGATAAGTTAAATGGAAAAAGTAAACAAATGTTAGTGACATGGATGCTAAGTTGGTGTTGCTGAAAGCCACAAAAATCTTGCATAACTTAAATCTAGCATTAGATGTTTCACAGAGTTGTAGAAAATAAGAAGTTGCCCTCTGTGAGATCACAACTATAAGTTATCATGACAGAGTGGAATCAATACATTTCTTATGTGCCTAAGCCAGCATTCTTTATTCCAGGAGAATTTGGATGAGATTTCTGCTTTGCCACTTATTCAAAAACATTCGTTCGAAGTGAATGATCCACAATCAATTAGCCAGTCCCAGTCAGTTGCAGACCATCAGTTGTCAAGTCCCTTGAGATCCCATAAAAGAGGAGGTAAGAAATCTCATAAAGTAACAGAGATCTTTCGTTTACTATTTATAAGCTACATGTTGTCAGCATGTAACTCGCTTTATATATTGATGAGGTCTTTTAACAATCCCTTGGAAGGCAGGAAACATAAAGGAACCAACTTTCTTGTACACATTTTCAACCTGGAAATATAAAAAAATCCCTTAAGTACCTGAATTACAGTGGCAGAAGTATAAAGATTTTTAAAATATGGTTTCTACTAAAAATGTGGTTAATAATCTAGAAATCAAATTGACTTTTGAGACCTTCAGCTTTCCTTTGCCTTCCAGCCTCAAAAGTGGAAGACAGTAATGAAGTCTCTCATGTTTGGCAGAATGAAAGACAATGTGTTTGTTCACACGCACAAGATTCAGTCAGCAACATGGGAAAGCCTACAATAATTCTATGATCTACGCAATGTGTTTTTTTATTTTATTTGCTGATACATTATTTTTGCCATGGTCAGTAAGAGTTTAAAAACTTGAAGTAAAACATTATGACATTTGTTGAGTTTTAACTGGTTTATCTTTGAGTATTCCAGGGAATCATTACCTATCAGAATACTTTCCTCTGTTATTGTAGTCATTGTGTCCTTGCAAATCCATGAATACAGACTTCAATACTAGATCACAGAATACCTTCCACAGCTTAAGATTAAGTAGGTTAGTAATGTGATATCTGTTAACTGGAGCCAAAATATAAATGATAATAGATTAATTTCCAGGTTATTACTGAAAAATAATTGTTTATAATTCTGTGCCATACATTAACATTTCTGTTTATATGTTTAATGGGACACCTTTAATCTTGTAAATCTACATACACTTATCTGAATACTTGAGCCCTAATACTGCAATTTATGTGTTTAAACTTTACAGAGTCCAGTCAAACAATTTACAATGTAAAGGTAAGATAGGTATTTATAGGGAGATCCTTCTGCTACAGGAGATAATGTGAATTCAATAGTTTTAGTCTTCTACACAGGCATAATGTACTTTCCATTCTAAAAACGGAATCGTATGTAAACACAGCAGGTTGAGAAATCCATTATTCTCTCTTCATGCATCCTGTCCATATGGGTTTTGAATCCATAGTGTGGGACTGCAGGGGATGTGTACATTACTATCTTAAATTATTACATGTTAAACAATAAACCTGTCAAACAGAAATATCTTTATTGCAGCAAATCCTCTTGAGCAAAGCAGTCAGGGCCCAAATCTGCCATCCTTACTCTCACTGGATGTTGTATGTTATCCTGCAACTAGTCTCCTTGAAATCAAAGACATTGCGTCTGAAGTAAACAATTAGAGAGAGTAAAACTGGCAGAATTACACCCTTAGCAAGCATGTGATTCAGAGCCATTTCCCAGTAATTTAGAGAGACTTCAAAAAATGTGAAGTGATAGAATAGAATTTGAAGAAGAGATAAATGCAACATTGATCTGAACTATTTAAGAAACATGTATGTATAAATGAATAAGCATGCAAATACAGAGAAGTAAGGAATTTCCTAGTGAAGCATGAAGATACTCAGATAGATGATCATATAGATCACACTTCAATGAGTAACTATTAAGGAAGTAAACCTGTTCAAGAATAATAATTTCTTTGAGTGCTTTTAAAAGCATGGCTTGCATTCAGAAATTCAGATGCTTTCACGCACTGCTTTATCTGTATTCAGTCTTTTTGTGTGAAGTATACTTTTAGACCTATTGTGAAAACTAAGTGAAATAGCAAATATCTTTTTGGAGTAAGAACACGTGTATAAAATACATGTGATATATAATGTAGGACTATACTACATGTTATACTGTTAGTTATAACTGTTACTCACACAAAAATAGCTGTCCACTAGGTGGTCCAAACAATGCGAAGACTGTTATTTTTCATAGTGAAACATTACTCTGTTATGTTATACATTGATTGTGAACTGTCTTTAAGTTACATTACAGGCAGAACTAGTCTGTCAGTCTGGTTGTAGTGCTGTGGATCTGGAACATAGAGGACAACGGGGAAGGGAATGTGACATGTTTCTGCACTGGTCTGTGACCCAATTATGAAGTAGTGTTGATGTTTGCTGAAGGAGAGTCCATATCCAAGCTTAAGCACAAAGGGAAGGACAGGCTGCTTATTTGTCTTGAGGCCTCGGTAGGTGAGGCTCTAGTGCAGTCAAGAGGGGACAGAACACAAAAGGGAAAAATGGTTGATATGAGTTTACTTATTTTTGTATTAATCAAGCAGACTATTCAGTCATGTCTTGTTATCCAGCTGGCTAATAGCACAGGCTGCCCATTCTCAGTAGTAGATTGGCAAAGGAAAAATAGACCAGGAGAATTCCACAAAGATCCTGTGAAGACTGTACTCTGTCATTAATGCAGAAACAAAAGCCTGCTTTTCACTTCAAAAGTCTTTTTTCACTGGGTCGTAGGAAGACTGAGCAGTATGGCCAAACTGCATGCAGCACAGGTTAAATGCATGCATGCACTGTGGTTGCATGGAGTCACCGAGGCTGGCTCTACACTGCCCAGGCGTTCCCTTAGGCTCTGCTAGAGTGGTGGGGCAGGACTAGTAGCAAAGCCAAAGATTCCCTGCAGTGTTTCCGCTGTGACACACTGCCTGGGCAGAGAGGAGAGTCCGGTCAATAGTAACCATTAAGCCAGAAGTTAGTTATTCTAGTCACAATAAAGTAGTACTGAAAGAATCAAAATAATATAAATATAATTGCCAGAGGCCAAGTAGTGGTATTCCCTTAGATGAGATAGATAGTGAGAATGTTTGAAATAATTAATGAGAAGTGAGTGCTTCATAGGGAATTGACCAGTGTAACTTTGCCTCAAAAGTAAATATGACAGATTTTCTGATGTGCAAAGGAAATATGTTTGTAAAAGGAAAGCTAATAGTATCTCTGCATTGACCAGAGACATAATTCTTAATGCTAACACAGACATTTTGAACAAGCGAGAAAATACTCAAAGAGTCTCTGGCCTTAGACATTCTCTTGTAGGAGAACAGTGTGTGTCTTCTGATGATGTTCAGTTTACACCTTGCACCTCACACTGTTGTCTGCAATGCTGAAACTTTGTGAGATGTAGCAAAATTTGCCAGGGTTCTGAGAGATCTGGAATTATGCAATCTGCAGTGTCTGTAGCCACAATCTGAGGCTGAGGTAGTGAAACTTGCACTATAGTTGTAAAAGTCAATAGGCTATTTCCAATATAGCCTTTGATTTAGCCAATATATCCAATGATTACTTCATTAATTGTTAGGGCTTAACTCCAGTTTTAAAGCAGTCACCCAACTTTAATTCTATCAGGACCATAATTATGTTATAACACCCAAGCCACAGGGAATATACTTAGGTGATTGGTCTTTGCTTCAGAGTTTTCTTTGAGTCAGACTTTCTTGTTGAAAATACTCTAAGCCGCCTCAATCTCAGCCCTAGAGTACAGTCTTGATTCCGGTATCTTGCACTTGCAAGTGAAAGGTGCTTAAATATAGGGAAACATCTTACTCTACGTGGTAGTTTAACATCGTATCATAACTTTAACTCTGATCTTATTTAGTTCCTATTTGTACATTGTTTTAAAAAAAGATAACAGCTACAGCAAAGCAAGAACATTAGTAATTTGGAAATGGGGACACTTGTTATCCTTTGATTCACAGAAAGTCAACATCCCAGCATGACTGTAATACGTATTATCTCACACAAGATGTGGTATCAAGATCTGGATGCCTTGTAGCCAAAGGTGCCACTTCACTTTCTGCAAGTGAAAGAGAGATCAATCCAAGGCATTCAGCTCTTTTTCTCTGTGTAACTCAGCTTCTGGTTGGATTCCGTTACAGCAAACCTTCCTTTCTAAATGAAAAATAAATCTGCTGATACATAATGTGGTGCTAAATGCTGCGTGGACTTTCAGCTAGTTGTCATTGGCAGATGGGATGATACTGACACATGGATGCCATTAATTTCAGAATCCTATCATTCAGGATTTTAAGTGAAAGAATTTATAATCTATTTAGACTTATTTTTGGTTGTTTAATCAGGAGTTTCGTTTCATCATTTTTAAGCCCCCTACTGAGACTAATTTTACATTGAAGGAATGTAAATCGTGAAGAACTTGACTGTAGTCAGTAGAATCGTAACGGTGAGAAGAATTGGGTCTTTTGGTTATAAAAAATTGACATAAAGTTCGCTACATGTCTGGGGTTTAGGGTTTTTTGTGGCAGAGGATTTGGTTTGAGATTTGAGTTGGTCATTCTTATGAAAACAAAATGCAAATAAAATAGCATGATCATGGGGCAGTCTGAATGTTACAGGAAACACTGAAAAGTCCAAGGTAGTGTTCCATAGTATGATCTGATTATACTGAGCATGCTGTAGCTATGTGCAAGGCCTATGAGATCTCCACAGTATTCTTCTACTACACAGCACACTATAGCAGAGGACTTACTATTATCCGTGTTGCAGTTGAAGCCTCGGGCAGAGGAGCTGCTGATGTGGTGTGTTGTATAATGAATTTCCATTGAAAGGATCCTGCTACAGTAGTGTTCTGTGGCTTTTGAGACAAAATCTGGCTGGGCATGAGCAGGGTAAAAAGTGGCTTCTTTTGCTTTTTTCCTTAAAAGAATATCACCAGATTACTGACCTCTTCACACCTGGGATAAATGCTGGGCTTTGGGCTTAGTAAACAGAAATCCTGTTTCCAAATCATTAATTTTACCTTGCAAATGTGTAAATAGAAATAACAGGAAGGAGAAAATATTTTTTAGGATGTCTCCTGAGAAAATATGCTGAAAATAAAGCTACATCTCAAAGCAATCATTATTGTTTCTATCTTTATAAGAAAGGATAATCACCTTTCCAGGGTTGTGAGGCTACATATTTATGCAGATTGACTTTATTGGTGCGAGTAAGCCTATCACTGTGCATTGCACTGCACGTGGTGGGACCCGCAGGAGGGCCCCAGGAGGGACCATCCCCTCCCA